GGGGGGGGGGGCAGCTCCCACGGACCTCCCGGAAGAAGGCGGCGTGTCTCTGCACGCTGTCGCTGGCCTGAGTGGCCTGGATCTCGGGGTAGAAAGTGCTGATGACATAGTCAAGCATCTGCACTCGGATGTCGTTCCTCCCCACGCTGGGGCCGGCGCGCCCCGTGTGCTCGTCCGAGGACTTGAAGATCTCAAAGGATCCGAACCTGGAGGGAAGACCCGCGTTGACAACAGGTTAAACGTGACGCCTCCCCCTCACGAGTCAGGAAGGAGGGAGGGTGCTGCTAGCCCTTGTGGCGGGGCGGCGGGGGAGAAACCACCAAATGTAGCTGGCCGTTCAGTGACTCAGGCGGACACAGGGCACTTCCCGGGGTGCATGGGGCCGGGACTGCCACGGCCGCCCTGCAGGGACGAGAGGGGTTCTGTGTCCGGCCTCCCACACCGAGGGATGCGCCCGTCACCGGTGTCCTGTAGTGGGGTGACCCGCAGGCTCAGCAGTGGGGCAGTTATACCCCCCAGGGGGCGGGCTAACGTCCAGAGGCAATTTTGGTTGTCACGATGGGGGTTACTACCAGCAGCTCATGGGTGGAAGCCAGGAACGCTGCCTGAACACCCTACGAGACACAGAGCAGCTCATAGCAAAGACGACCTGGTCCAAACACCACTAGTGCAGCTGTGCCCAGAGGCCCCGGGTCTCCCAGCAGGAGGCCAACGCCTGCCCCGACACCACCACCCCCAGAGGACAAAGGGAAAGCTGGTGACAGCTGACGCACAGGGTCGGCCCAGGTCACCTGACCCCACCAGACGGCCACAGCCACCTCCTGGCGACTCTGGGTTCAGGTGGTCAGTACTGAGCACCCGACGCCAGACAGTGTGGTGACGTCGAGGACTGACAGGCCCTGCTGAAGACAGCAGCCAGGAGGCCTCCAGTCAGTGAACAGGGGCCAGAGGAAGCAGGCACACCGGGCGTCATGGCCGCTCGTCCAGCAGCACAGTGAGGCCGTTTCTTTGGTGCATCTTATGTAGCTCCTGGTCATAAACTCCAGGTCCACAGCTCTGGACACGCCGCCCCAGAGCCTGCACTGGGGCGACCTCCTCTGGCCGCCCCAGGCCCTGCACCCTGGCCGGGCAGCTGCACTCCGGCCACTGGGGCGACACAGGAGCACGAGGACAGGCGTTACCTGAGGAACGTGGGGGCCACGCGCAGCACGACCGCGCACTGCTCGGGCCTGGGGTTGCCGTCGTAGAACACGTCCCGCTCTACGGTGGACTGGGACGTGACACAGGCGCCGGCCCGCGTGGTGGGGATGCCCAGGTGGAACATGGCCTCACTGCATAGGAACTCGCGGATGCTCGAGCGCAGCACCTTGCGACCGTCGGCCTGTCTGAGGTCAAGCACAGAGGTCACTGCTGGGCTCCACTCAACACCAAGGTGTGGTCACAGAGGGAAGGGACTGGAAGAAAGCCTCCTAATAGCTTTTTAAAAACAACCCATGGGCTTCCCTAGTGGCGCAGTGGTTGAGAGTCCGCCTGCCGATGCAGGGGACACGGGTTCGTGCCCGGGTCTGGGAAGATCCCACATGCCGCGGAGCGGCTGGGCCCGTGAGCCATGGCCGCTGAGCCTGCGCGTCCGGAGCCTGTGCTCCGCAGCGGGAGGGGCCGCAACGGTGAGAGGCCCGCGTACCGCAAAAAAATAATAATAATAAAGTAAAAACAACCCACGAGCAGCTCTGACATCACTGTAAGAAGAGTCTGCTTTGGACGATCCCAGGTGCTAAGCCCCTAACCTCCTCCAGGTCTGGAACCACAGCACAGGGTGCCTGGCCCACGGCAGGAGGCCAAGTCCACATAGAGGTCAGGGAAGGCTACTCCCAGGGTCACACACACGCTCGCAAATCCACAATTCTGTTTTTATGAATTTACTTTGTGAAAATCCTTTTACAACAGCACAGACACAGAGCATCATTTGCAGTGGCGGGGAGGACCCCAGTCTCCCTCAGGCAGCTCTGAATGATGTGGATGTTTTCTTCTTATGCTAAACCTTCATTATTACTATTATTTTAAATAGACTTTCTTTTCCTAGGCAGTTTTAGGTTCACAGCAAAACTGATCAGAAGCCAGAGAGATTTCTCATATACCCACCACCACAGATACACAGCCTCCCCCAATATCAACATCCCCACCAAGGGGAGACATTTGCCACACTCGATGAAGCTACGCCAACACGTCATCATCACCCAGCGTCCACTGTTTACACCAGGGCTCACTTTCAGTGTTGTCCATTCTGTGGGTTTGACAGAGATCCACCATCACAGTGTCATACAGAACAGTTTCACGGCCCGAAAAACCCTCTGTGCTCCGCCTGGTCGTCTCCCCCGCCCCCACAACCCCCAGTCTTTGACTGTCTCCATAGTTGTGCCTTTTCCAGAATGTCACAGAATTGGAATCATACTGTGCGACCTTCAGATTCACTTCCTTCACTTACTGATATGCATCTAAGTTTCTTCCATGTCTTTTCGTGGCTTGATGGCTCATTTCTCTTCTTTTTTTTTTCCTTTCTATTCTTTTGCTGAATAATATCCCATCGTCTGGACGGGCCACGGTTTGTTTATCTATTCACCTTGAAGGACATCTTGGCAGCTTCCAAGTTTTGGCAATTATGAATAAAGTTGCGGTGAACATCCATACACAGGGTTTTCGTGTGGACGTGTTTTCAGCTGCTTTGGGTAAACGCTGAGGAGCGTGATTCTTGGATCATGTGGTGAGAGTGTATTTTAGTTTGGTAAGAAACCACCACACTGTCTTCCCAAGCGGCTGCACCATCCTGCAGGCCCAGCAGCCGTGAATGGGAGCTCCTGTTGCTCTATATCCTCGCCAGCATGTTGTGTTGTCAGTGTTCGGGGATTTGGCCATCCTCCTAGGTGTGTGATGGCGTCTCCTTGTTAATTTGCATTTTCCTGATGACACATGATGTGAAACATCTTTTAAAGTGCTTGTATGTCATCTCTGTATCTTCTTTGGGGAGGTGTCTAACAAGGTCTTTGCCCCATTTTAAAATCAGTTTGTTTTCTTATTGTTGAGTTTTAAGAGTTCTTTGTATATTTTGGATAACATCCTTTATCAGATGTGTCTTTTGCAGAGATTTTCCCCCAGTCTGTGGCTTGTCCTCTCATTTTGCCTGACATTGTCCCTCACCGAAGTTTTACCTTTAATAAAGTCCAGCCTATCAATTATTTCTTCACGGATCCTGTCTTTGGTATGGTACCTAAGAAGTCATTTCTATACCCATGGTCATCCAGATTTTCCATTTTATCTTCTAGGAGTTTTACATTTTTGCATTTTGTTTAGGTCTGTGATCCATTTTGAGTTAATTTTTGTGAAGGGTGTCAGGTCTGTGTCTAGATTTTTTTTTTTTTTATGTTGATATCCAGTTGTTCCAGTACAATCTGTTGAAAATACTATCATTGCTCCATTGGATTGCCTTTGCTCCTTTGTCAAAGATCCACACCTATGCAGGTCTATTTCTGGGCTCTCTGTTCTGTCCCATTGACCTATGTATTCTTTGGCCAAAACCACTCTCTTTTTTAAAAAAATTTATTTTATTTATTTATTTTTGGCTGCATTGGGTCTTCGTTGCTTCGCGTGGGCTTTCTCTCCAGTTGTAGTGAGCGGGGGCTACTCTTGGATGTCGTGTGCGGGCTTCTCATTGTGGTGGCTTCTTGTTGCGGAGCACGGGCTCTAGGCGCACAGGCTTCAGTAGTTGCAAAACCACACTCTCTTGACTGCCGAAGCTTTATGGTGAGTCCTGAAGTGCGGCAGCGTCAGTCCTCTTTGTTCTCCCCCGGTATCGGGAGGGCTATACTGGGTCTTTTGCCTCTCGGTATAAATTTTAGAATCAGTTTGTCAATATCTACAAAATAACTGGCTGAGACTTTGATTGGGCTTGCATTTAATCTGTAGATTGAGTTGGGAAGAACCAATACCTTGACAATATTGAGTCTTCCTATCCATGAACGTGGAATATCTTTAGTTGATTTGATTTAGTTCTTCTTTGATATCTTTTATCAGTTTTGTAGTTTTCCTAGTAGACGTCTTATATTTTGTTAGATTCACACCTAAGTGTGAACTCACACTTAGGTGTGAATCTAATTTTTAGGATTGCTAATGTAAACAGTATTGTTTTTAATTTCAAATTCCACTTGTTCACTGCTGGGATATACTAAAGTGATTGACCTATGTAGTAACTGTATCCTGCAACCTTGCTATAACTGCTTATGAGCTCATTTTTTGGTCAGTTCCTTGAGATTTTCTACATAGATGTTCACCTGCAAAAAAACCCAATTTTTATTTCTTCCATCTCAATCTGTATGCCTTCGCTTTTCTTCTCTTGTCTTGTGACATTAGCTATAGGACCTCCAGGGATGTTGAAAAGCAATGGAAAGAGGGAACATCTTTGTCTTGTTTCTAATCTTAGTGGGAAAGCTTTGAGGTTCTCATGATTAAGTAGGTTTAGCTATAGGTTTTCTGCAGATACTCTGTCAAGTTGAGGACGTTCCTCTCTGTTGCTAATTTACTGAGTTTTTATCATGAATAGGTCTTGGGTTTGTCAAATGCCTTTTCTGCTTCAACTGATGTGGTGATGCGAGTCATCTTCTTTAGCCTGTTGATCTGATGGACCACATTAATTAATTTTTGAATACTGAACCAGACTTGCATACCTGGAATAAATCCCATTTGGTGGTGATGTATAATTCTTTTCAAACATTGTTGGATTTGATTTGCTAATATTTGGTTGAAGATTTCTTTATCTATGTTCATGAGGGGTTTTGGTGTGTAGTTTTCTTTTCTTGTATTGTCTTTGTCTGGATCTGGTATTAGGGTAATGCTGGCCTCACAGAATGAGTCAGGAAGTATTTCCTCTGCTTCCATTCTTTGAAAAAGAGTGGAATAATTTCATCCTTAAATGTCTGGTAGAATTCACTGGTGAGTCCATCTGGGCCTGGTGCTTTCTGTTTTGGAAGGTTATTAATTGTTGACTCAATTTCTTTAATATATATAGGCCTATTCAGATTGCCTTATATTTTTCTTGTGACTTTTGGCAAATTGTGTCTTTCAAGGAATTGGTCCATTTCACCTAGGTTATCAAATTTGTGAGCACAGAATTGTTCAGAGTAATTTTATTTTCCTTTTAATGTCCATATGATCTGCATGATTTCCCCTCTTTAATTTCTGGTATTACTAATTGTGTCCTCACTTTCTTTCTTAGTTAGCCTGGCTAGAGGTTTATTGATTTTATTGATCTTTTCAAAGAACAAGCTTTTGGTTTCACTGATTTCCTATTTCAATTTCATTGACTCCTGCTCTAATTCTTATTATTTCTTTTCTTTTGCTTACTCTGGATTTGATTTACTCTTCTTTTTGTAGTTCCCTAATGTGGAAGCTTAAATGATTGGTTTTAGATCTCTCTTCCTTACTAACATATGCACTCACTGCTGTAAACTTCTCTCAAAGCACTGCTTTCACTGTGCCCCATACATATGGTGTTTTCATTTTCATTTAGTTCAAAATACTTAAAAATTTCTCGAGATTTTGTCTTTGACCATGTGTTATTTAGAAGTATGTTGCATAATCTCCAAGTATTTTGGGATTTTCAGTTATCTGTTATTGATTTCTAGTTTGATTCCATTGTGGCCTGAGAACAGACACTGTATGATTTTTATTTTAAAAAATTTGTTAAGGTGTGTTTTATGGCCTAGAATGTGGTCTCTCTGGATAAATGTTCCATGTGGGCCTGAGAAGAATATGTATCCCATTGTTGTTAGATGAAATAGGCTATAGATATTCTTTATATCGAGTTGACTGATGGTGTTAACTGAGTTCAAAGATGGCCTTACCAATTTTCTGCCTGCTGGCTCTGTCCATTTCTTTTTTTTTTTTTTTTTGCGTTACGCAGGCCTCTCACTGTTGTGGCCTCTCCCATTGTGGGGCACAGGCTCCGGACGGGCAGGCTCAGCGGCCACGGCTCACGGTCCCAGCCGCTCCGCGGCATGTGTGATCTTCCCAGACTGGGGCACGAACCCGTGTCCCCTGCATCGGCAGGTGGACTCTCAACCACTGCGCCACCAGGGAAGCCCCTGCTCTGTCCATTTCTGATAGAGGGGTGTTGAGTCTCCAACAATGACAGTGGATTCATCTGTGCCCCTTGGAAGTTCTGTCAGTTTCTGCCTCATGGTACTCCGATGCTGCTATCTGGCACATATACAAGTAAGGACTGTTCTGCCTTCCTGACCCCTTCACCTTTTGTCACACGCCTCTTTATCCCTAATGACTTTCCTTACTCTGAAGTCCACTCTTTCTGAATTAATATGGCTAAACCTGCTAACTA